TTACACTTTAGTAATTACCATGACTAAAATTCACAAACAGCATTTTAAATGAAGAAATGATAGGAGTAGAAAAATTATATTTTGTATACCTTGATTCAATATATCATTTATAGGGTTGAAAGAATTTTGAACGTTGTTGAGAAAAATGTATTAAGTGTTAGGGAATAAGTAGTAACAAATTATTTAAAAATTTTATTTTAATGTTATGTTTTTTTCCATTCTGGCGCATCTCATATGTAGATTATTGTTCTTCGAACATATAGGTTTCTGTCTAAGTCATAAGGTATATACACTGTATTACATATACTACTATATTATTATATTACACTTGCAGAATATTTATATAGCTTAAAATATCAGATATAAAGATATAAAATCATTTCTTTTTATCTCTTGTGCACCAAAACGCACTTGAGCGTAAATAATTGCCCATTGTGAGACCACTACTCATAGACCACTACTTAGGTTTTTACAGTCCAAAAATAGGCAACGACTTACAAGGTGAAACACAATATCCCTTCCTTTGCATGCTAATAAGAATAATAGCTAATAGCTCTCTTCCTTTTCTAATAATAATACACTTGGAACTGAAGGTCAGCAAACTAGTTTGGTTAATGTATATTATGTATATTAATGTCCGCTAGTATACTACGAAATAATAAAGTATTTTATCAACTACGAGTTACTTTGCGATGATTAGGGAATAATACTGTATTGTACCAACTCTAATACTGATAATTCTCTAATATGGAATATGATTTATTATGAAAGAATTTTAAATTCTAAAAAAAAAAAATAAACATAACTTCCGTACAAAATTTTTCTAATTGAGAAATATTAACTTCTAATTAAAAACTTGAGCATGCAATGCACATTTACATGATTTTCATATTTTTAGTCTGCAAAATTTATTCATGCAATTTTTTATGTCATTCCAATTCAGTTTCTGTCATAAATTCCAACAATCACCTGCTGCAGAACTCTTGTCTTGAAGCACATCTAATAATTTCTGGCTTAAAATTCCGTACATGTATCTCGAAATGCCTAAATAATTCCATCAACACGTTCCAACATAAAAAAAATGAAATACTGGCTACGGTTTCAGATTATCTTGGTTTCAGGTTTCAGTCTTTCAGTCTTTTAGTCTTTCACTTCACAAAGCCAAGGGAAATTCTGCTTTTTTGTTGCTAAGCCATTACAGAATATGTAATTTTTACAATTAACAAAAAAAGTAAAAATATTTACTTACATGGAAATGCTTCATAATTTGAAATTGCACTTAATATTCCTATGCGATACTAGAGAATTACTTTTACTTAGAAGTGTTTCTAAAGGAAAAGGAAGAGAATTTTTATTTCATCCTCTTCATTGTTATTTAACACAGACAGTTACTGCATTTTTTTAATATAATATATATTAATAAATAAATTATAAAATTTTAATAAAGATATATTTTATATTGGATTTATTGTTATACATACAATATTTCAAGGTATATTATACGGGTCGAATTAAGGTTAAGGAATAAAAATAGATCTTTTTTTACCATAAGCAACTTTTCTTCTTTCGCGCTTTGAGGAAATTATGTAAAGAGTATATATTCTACCAGATATACATATATTTGCGTAGAAGATGCATAAAGCAATAGATGTGTAGGGGGACTTCAACCCCTTTAACTTCTGCATTCGGAATATTTGCTTATTCCTTTCCAAATTTGCAAACCCGGTTTTAAAGATAAATTTAAAAATAATTTTTTAGATTCACTAATTCTGTTTCAAGAATATAACTTTTTATGCACTTCTCGGTATATTTATATCTTGTACTAGTAAATTATTATTAATTGAGCTAATCAAACATAACTTTGCAATAATTCCCGAATCTATAAATAAAGTATATAATAAAATAATATATATATATAAATGATCATATATGATATTGTGTTATTATTAAGGAAGGTATTGTATATAAATCAACACACAATATAGGCAAATGAACTGAGACGCCCTCTTTGGCTTTCTAAAAGATACAATGAGATACAGGCATAGAATATTAGAGGTTTTTAAATTATAATATGCCATGTAGGGTATTAGTAGACAAACGGCATTCAAGGCCTGCCCTTAGGTTAACAGTTAATAGTAATTAAATGTATAAAAAGTTCGCGTCAAGCTTTCTTATAAGCATAGAAAAAAAACGGCAATGACCTATCAGTTAGGAGAAAAAAAATATTAAAAATATTCTGGATGTGTGGTAACAGATAATATAAAAGCGGCCGAGATGAACCAAGAACTGTTCATCCCAAGTGGGATGCACATCCCACTATGGAACACTATGTGACTATGAAACAGAATAATAGATTATTACAAATCAAATATTTTCTGCTACTACTATATCGAATGTTATCGCGTTTTGTAGAGTTTAAATATTTTTCTTTACACAGAATTACAAATGAAATTTTAAATGTTTGGAATAACTAAAAAAAAATAATAATCTTTTATTAATATTAATTTAAATGAAAATTAAATAATTATAGTTGCGTAGTTGTAATGAAAAAAATCAATTATTTTTTATAACAAAATCACAATCCAAATCATCCGAAACTGTGGTTCAAAGACAGATCTATCAACTACATGTTTTCCTAGAAATCTTGAACAAGCTTTTTAAAATAGAAAAATAGCGTTTTAAAATTAAATTTATAAATGTAAATTAATTTTAAATATTTTGTGTAAATATTAAAAAATGTTAAAAATATTGATACGATCGTATTTATCTGAAAAAAAAAATTAAAATTAAAGTATATATCCGATTTTTAACTCTGCTAACAGTGTTACTCACTAATATCTTGCACTGAGATTATATAGAAAACTATTTAGAATCCATTTGCTCAATTTTTGCTGTTATTTCTAGCATAATTTCAGTACATTGAGATAATAACTGTTGATTTCGATTCTCAAATTCCAAAATCTGCTGCTCTAAAGTTTTTTTTGGAACAGCTTTCACCTGCCGTCGTTTACGTTTATTTTGACCACTGGTACCAGCAATCCCTTAAACATTATAACTTATGGTTAGTTATATACATATATACAGTACACATACACTACATTATACCTTGTTCTTGCTGCATTCCCGCCTTGGATTGTAGAAATTAAAAATTATTATTATTAAAATAAAGGAAACTTCATAAATATCATATAAAACTGTCGCTACCGCCTTAATAAGCACATCATTACAAATATACTTACAACTACCACAGTTGTAGCATTTTCTTCTGTGGAAATGCTATGCTTCGCTTGGGATAATAAACTAATAGATCTTCTCTTTTTGACAAAGTTGCCATTACTTTCTGCATCTTTCAGAGGAATTGATTCACCACTCCTTCGAAATTGGTTAACTAAAATTTGGCATATTGCATCAAATTTCTTACAGCGAATATTTTCCTTCCCATTACCGTTCTGAAGTTTCTTTCTCATTTGCCTTAAAATATATATTATATTTCATTTTCATCAAACAAAATTGAACTGCTAACCTATATTTAGCCTGAATTTTGCTACGTTTAGAGAGCATTTCCTCGGGTGACACAATCACATTGAAACGGTTTTTTAGTTCCGTTGCCCAGTCTACAAAATGTTTTGGATATTTACGATCTTTCGCTAACTTCTGACGTTCCCATATTTTAAGCATAATCTCTTGTTTTTTAGTCCAATAAAATTGCGTTTTTCCATTATCTTCTCCCGCGGTTGAAGAATTCATCAGAGCCAAATCTTTTTCACTTTCCATTGTGCTGGAATATATAAATAAATTAAATAAAGAATTCAAATAATAATGTTATAGAAGTTTATAAGCTATTTTTGATATATCATCCTCACCTGATGAAGAAAAATAAATGAAAATACCGCAATAACTGTGAAGTTAGGTGTGATTATTTTTATGTGGTGATTTTAAACTGACTATACACTTAACAGCTGATCGAAAAAAGCATATAAACAAGCAAACTGTAGGTCTGTTTCAGAATTTTTTTAATAAAAATCAAATAAATTTAACAACCCTATATTCTCCCAGGGGCA